AGGGTTGCTACAGAGTTATTGTCAAGGTGTACAGTAATGTAGTATTTGTTAAATACACCAATAAATCAGTCAAATAAGCTTTCTTGTGACTACATCTTGCTATTATCTTCTGAGAAAGGGGTCGCAGTGTTTAGCTGGCGCAAACAGCAAAACACTCCCATCTAAAAAAAACATAATTCTTTCATTTAACCTTTTTTTCCTGAACTAATACTAATTAATTCACAAAGTCTAATTAATTCTTCCATATTTGAAAGCTGGGCTATCTCAGCTTAAACAGAATGGTACCAAACAGTCTGATGTCAAAAAATGAACAAATCTGATCAGTTGAATTCGAATGAACTCAACAATTACAAAACATAGATACACCTCGTTATGACACAGAGATAGGTAGATATACAGTATGTGTACTTATATGCATAATAAATGAATGGATAAGAATAAACTCAACAGTTCAGCACAAATCTCTTGATGAGAGACAATGGAGGGGGAGGACATCCTCCTCTCTCTTGAAACAGACTGTTGGTGGTCTGTAAGGTAAGGTTGAGGGAAAAATTGCAGGCAGAACAACCAACATCTAATTTATGTTTTTTGTAAATTTATTATCAAAGAAATGTAACTTTTTTTTCCAAATGGTCAAGCGTGTTTTTACCAGAACTAATCAAGACACATTTATTTTTCACCTGCACACTGATAGTCATTCTATTTACAATGCATCGGAAGCTTTCTTCTTCTCTGGGCTCTATCGATCATTTCTCAAAATGTACCTGTAAAGACAAACAGAGATATGTTTATGGTTCGCTGAGTTTATGCATAACATTAATACTAAGCTACGGTGACTGAGAGAGACAGCATTATTTACCAGAGCAAAAGCGACAGGGAAAGCTGGCATCTTGGTTGCAGATGTTGTTCATTCCTCTCCAATTCAGATTTTTGCTGGACTGTGTGTTGTGTTTAGTTGTTGATCGTTAAACTTTGAATGAGGGTATTATTCACGGTAAAAGTGCTCCTCATGCTCGGTGTTGGATGTACTGCCCCTATAGAGCTGCTCCGAGAGGGATCGAATTACAGGCTCACATGGAAGTGCTTACCAATCAAAATATAATAGGTCTTCTTTAATATGTATATATATATACATATATATATATATATATGTATGTATATATATATATATATATACATATATATATTTACAACATAAAGTTACTTATATTTTAATAACTAAAGGCTTGTGCTTTAGCACTCAAAATCGCCACTGTTCTAACACACTGAATGAATTTTTATTTGATTTGAGTTGATTATTTGATTATTTTTGGGGGGATTTTAAATGATCAACAACAGTACTACAGACAAAAGAGGAGTACAAAGACAAAGACATGCAAAGTTATATTTAACTTGTATTTTGCTGTTCGGCACCTTGACACGTGTAAGTAGCACCAGAGTGATTTTAGTAGTAAACGGATGTACTTTATAGTTCCTTTCTAGTCTTCCGACCACTCAAAGCTTTAACACTACATGTCATCATTCACCCATTCACACCCTGATGACAGCTGCCCATCAGAACTATCTAACATTGATAAAACATCCATACACCACAGGCACAGCTCGGAGCAGGGGTTAAGTGTCTTGCCCAAGGACACATGGACTAGTGGAGCCGGGGATCGAACCGTCGATCCTCTGATTGAAGGACGACCCTGCTCTACATAGTACATACAGTATGCTTGTCTTATTAAGAAAAATAATAACTTTCATTTTATTGTCAACTTCATCAGGTATTAATTAAACATATCTTTTCTATGTTTAGTGTCTTGACTAATATTTTTGTGTTAAGTAATAGTAGCAGACATGCATTTACAAACAGAGCTAGACACAGGTATATATATAAATAATAACAGCTGTGTGCACAACTCAAGTCAACGTAGGAGAGTGGGACAGAATGCAGGAGTGTGGTTTCACTAGATTAATTTCCAACAAAAATAAAGCATTCTCCCAAGGCTTGTTTTTGACAATCAACCCTGGTAATAGCATACAGTACAACATGCTCACTACACCTTTTTTGCAATTCAATTTAATGATAGTAAAAGTAATAAAACGTTCAAAGATATTGACACAAACTAAATCAAACCCTGTTTTCCAGCCAAAGTAAACTCTGAGGGTGTATGTGAGGCAGAGTTGCTCTTACATCTGAATCATAGAATCCGTGATCTAGAGGAGATATCATTCATGTGTGGACCAGCCTCTAATCCCTGCCCATTCTTATCCTGAATGAATAAAACCCTTGACATGACAGATAACAACACCATTTATGTAATCAAGCAGCAACGAAGCGAAGATCATCAGAGCAATATTGGACTAACGTTTGCTGGCTCGTATATTCACCATCATGGTTCAACTGAGATGGCTGTGGACCAATGCTCTGTGTTTAGTGGCCATGGCTACTTCAGGTAAGAAATACTCATGCATTAATAACTGCTTGGAAGAATGAAATTGTTGAATGAAAACGTTGATATTTGTGCCTTTTACAACTCATCAAAGAAAGTTAAATGTCCTGCTCAATGGACTGTACTTGTGGTTTTGCCCATTTTAGCCCATTTACTTAAATACTGGTATGGTTCACTAAAATGTGAATACTTCATTAAAAATGTTCAAGAGACTAGAGGTTTTAAATGCCAAAATCCTAGACTGATATGCTTTGATTTGCTTGATATATTTTTGATTTACATTTTTTAAAGTCCATCTGCAGCTCCCTCCATACTGTTGAAAAGAGAAAACAATCTCATGCTCAAATTCAAAACATTCCTTAAGAGGAAATTGGAACATAGGGTCACAGGTGGAAGAAAGAGTTGAGAAACAGATGCAACGGATTTGAGGATGCAAGGCCATGCTGATATCCAGACAGATTGGAAACGTTAGTGTGAGTGATATTCTGGTCCATGTTTTTTTCTCAAATCAACAAAAAATATGTCACACTGAAACCTGCAGGGCGTCTGGCTCCCCCGAGTCTTCACCTGCATGACTTTCCCAGTGTAGAGCAGCTTAGCTCTTCTCCTGTAAAGACAGGCTTCTTTGTGCCACTGGAGATCACCAACAGAAGTTTCACCACTACACTGCTCAACCCAGCATCTGAAGTCTACAAGAACATGTATAAAGAAGTCAGTGACCTGGTAAGATGTATATTAGATAATCATAACCACTTTCGTACCACCAGGGCGGGATATACTGTTCTACCATTTAGGACAGTGAATTCACTTTTATTCTCCTCTTTCACAAGTCCAGACTTAAAACTGACTTCTTTAAGTCCAAATATGTAATCTATTCAGTATTTCTACACCAGAATTTATATTCCTGGGAGTGGGGGGAAATATAATTTTCAGAAACTACTGTATGACTGAACACTTGTATAATGTACAGGTAAAATATATAGTTTAGTGTGTGCATTTTCTAAAGAGTACCTCTACACATCCTATCCAAATGAATATCATTTCACTAGAGTTTGCACAGTGATACATGTTAGGGGAGAGAGTTGTAACTTTAAAGACACTCCTTCTGAGCTAAGCTACATCGACTTAGAACATATCTACATTCTGAACTCAAAAGGGAATCTGTGAGATCTTTTAGGTGCTCTCACAAAGTGAAGGTTTGTTTGCTTGGGGAACCAATAGCATCGAGTCATGTGGCCTCTTTATATGGTTTAGGTCATGATAATACTGTTGCTCAGCTGTGTATATATCTATGTCAATACATGTCTATACATATATCTATAGTCTCTCTCTCTCTATACATATATACAAATATATATTTATATATATTATATATACTATAAAATATATATATATTATATATATATTTTTTAAAGTGTTTCCTTTTTCGATGTGAGGGTCCTGGGACAGATGGTGTCGTATGTTGGAAAGATTATAAAGAACTCTGAGGCAAATTTGTGATTTATGCCCCACAGCATCACCAAAAGATTATAGTAGTCTGAGGAATGCACCAATAGAAATACTGTTGCTATCTACAGTAAAGGGCAAGCTAGCCTGCTTTGTGATTTGAGTTTTACAAGTCTGGATGCAATCCAGCTGCAAGGTCGGGCCAGCAGTAATTAAATATGTGCTCAACATTACATTATAGTACATACCGTCCATTGTCAGTGCACTGGACTATTACCTCGTTGTTAAAGTTAAGGATAATGTGTTGATTTGTATATGTTTTCTTTTCTTCTTCTGCAGTTGGAAACCATCTATAGCTGCTCTAACTGTCCAACAAATCCCTACTATGGAGGTGTTGTCGGAATGACGTTCAGGTATCATCAATATCATTAATCTCTGAATCATAAAGGTACTGCATTTAGGTATACTGTATATAGTATGGCAGATGATAGTGGCAGCACAGACACCACTTCCTGGCCAAACCATAAGTGGAACAACAGCAGGTTGGAGGCTGGTATTTAGTATTTCACTGTTTTTCAAAAGAACTACTACATATGCATATAGATAAACAAGTAGATGTACATATTTGGAAAAATAACATCACAAATGAAGAAAATATACGTATGTACAGTATATAACTTATTTTCCTTGTAATAATACTTTCTTTCACAGCTCTGGATCAGTGATCGCAAATGCATCTATTATCTTCAATTTCGCCTCTATCAATGCAATCATTGTCTTCAACTTACTTTCACAAATCTACGAACCCCAAACTCTCCAACTGAACCTGAGCTTTACCAGTAAGATCTCATTTTGTACACATAAGTCCAATTTGTTTCTCCATCTTTAAAAGCAGCGTTCTACATACGTAATGAGTACTTGTTGTTTTTCTTTAGATAAAAAAGTAATACAATTTAGAGTGCCTGAGACTACAACAACGACGACTACTACCATCACCACAGACCCTGCAACAACAACACCTACAACTACAACAACCACAACACCTACAACTGCAACTACCAC